GTGCAGCACCTGGTCCGAGCTGGCACGTGGAGATGCCAGGTTACTGTTGCTGGCCGTGTTCAGGCGTGGGAGAGTGGTCTTCCCAATTTCACTTCAAGGGCTGCCTCTGACCTCTGCCCCCACTGGTCGCATCTGGATCTCCCAACACCTGTCCATTGCCCGACACTGCCTCTGAGATGTCCTGATGGCATCCCACACTCTTAAGCTGACTATCTGAACTCCCCCACTCCCCAGTTTATGGTGGCTCCAGGCACCCCAGGCTCCAGTCAGAGTCACGGGCCCCATTTTGGTCCTGGCCACCCCCTCCTCCATCCAGCCGCTCAGCAATGGCTGAGCTACCATGAGGAGCAACCTTAGGAGCTACCTGAAGAGCCATATGAAAGAGTCACACCATCCAAGTAAATGACCACAGGCCCTTGGCAGCAATGGAGGCCGAGAGCACTGCACCAGGAGTCAGGAGGCAAGTGCTATGCGACCCTGAGTAACCTCCTTCCTTCTGTTTAGAAGGAGGGAGGATCAGGGAGTAGACATGAGTCTTGCTACAATCCACCCCATCTATTACGATCAGGCCCCTCTGGGCTTCGTCCAAAGCATATCAGGAGAATCCACATTCTCATGAGGCACACCAGCCCATGTCTGGCCTCCCAGCAGCTCTCCCAGCAGCTCTCCCTGCAGCTCCTGAGTTAGGACTGTGGCTTCAGGAGCCCCAGGCCTTGGCCAGGTGGGATGGTGCCTCCAGAGCCCCTGAGTCCCCTTCATCTGTAGTGGAATCTTGGTCCTAGCCTGGACAGGGACAGGGTCAAGGACTCTCGTTTGTCACTTCAGCTTTGGGAACCACAGGCTGAAAATCCCAGGAACGACTTAACTCTATCTGAGCCCAGTCCAGGCCTGTAGCAGGAGCTGAGCACTGGCTGGTGGCTGGAAGAAGCCGAACCCTCCACAGCTTACATGGAGGGGTCAGGTCCATCAGCTTGAGGTCAGGGACTGCTGTACCCATTTCACAGATATGGTATCTGCAACCCAGAGAGTTCACATACTCAAGAGGTGCTGGGCCAGCCACGTGACTCCACGGGGGCCAAGACCAGGCTCAGATCCAGTCTCTGCGATCCTCTCTGAAGGCCACCATAGATGAACTGTGGAAACCAGCCTTGCTTCCCCTCCCTTGATCACAGTCCCATTCCCTAGCTGCCCCTGTGCCAGGTTAGCCTCTCCAGAGCCCACTCTGAGCACTCTTCTAGTCTTTTCGCTGCAAGGGCCAGCTCTCTACCGTATGTGAGACCTGTGGATGGGGGGGCCTGGGCAGCCTAGGTCTCCAGATGGAGCAGAGTTCCCCACCCCCCACCCGGGCACTGCAGCCACCCCAGCTCTCCGAGCAGAGGTATTCAAGGCAATCTATCATGCACCTCAAACTCCCTCCAGCCCATGGCCATTGCCAAAACCACTTCCATTTGTAGGTATCTGTCAGAGCAGCGCTTCACTTCAGGTACTACCATCTGTAGTAGTTTCCTGTTGCTGCTATAACACTTTACCACAAATCCAGCGGCTTCAAACAACACAAACTTATCATCTTACAGTTCTGGAGGTCAGAAATCCAAAATTAGCTTTACTAGGTGAAAACCAAGGTACTGGCAGGATTCTGTTCTTTCTTGAGGCTCTAGGGGGGAATCCATTTCTTCGCCCTTGCCAGTGTCTGGCGGCTGTCTGCATTCCTTGGCTCACGGCCCTTTCCCCCGGCTGCCCCTGACGTCTGCTTCCCTCGCATCTCCTCTCACTGACAGTCCGGCCCCGCCTCTTCTAAGGACACTTGTTGATTACAACTGAGCCCATTTGAATAATCCAGGCTAATCTTTCCATCTCAAGATCCTTAACTTAGTCACACCCACGAAGTTCCTTTTGCCGTGTAAGGCAACACATTCACAGGGTTGGGGGATTTAGGACACAGGCATCTTTGGGGCCATTTTTCGATCTGCCACAGGAGGGGTAGGGTTGCTTTGACAGTCCCCAGCTCTGTCCAGAGGGCTGATCCAGGACTGAGGATCAGGCCTCTATTAGTGACAAGGGATCAGGCCGTTCTTCTGGCCAAGACTCTGGCTGGGGGCTGGCTGGAGCCCAGAGCTCCAGGAAACCTGGCGCCTGCCCCTGCTGCCGCCAAGGACAGCCTGTACTCCTGGCGCAGCCGCTGCGCACAGATCAGGTGCACTTGAGCCCATTAGCAGCCATGGCTCAACTGGGACAGCTGCCTAGCTCGGCCGGGCCCTCATGGCTTCTTCTCCCTACTGGCCAGAGTATGCAAAAGCTGCTGTCAGGTCAGACGTGAGCCACACAGGAAGTCCCAGCTTCATTCTAGAAAACACATACGTTGCTGGTTTATTAGTGGATATTACTGACCGTGGGGCCCCGGAGAGATGAGGGAGGTTTCCAAATACATGGGGCAGACTGTCACTGGTGTTGGCTAGGGGCTGGCGGTGAGAATAGAGAGGTCAGGGCAGGCGTTCTGGAGGAGGCAGCTTCTGGGTTGCAGCCTGAAGGAGGGGACCGTTTGGACTGGCGGGGGTGGGCAAGGCACTCCTGACGAAAGGCACTGCTGGGTGAAGGGAAGGAATTGTGTTTAGGGAATGGAGAGTCCTGCAGGGAGGCTGCAGTCCAGGGCAGCGGACTGAAGAATCCAGAAGTGGACAGGGAAGGACATGCTGGCCTGAAAAGGTTAAATCAGTTCTCAAAGCCTGTTGAGCAGTGGAACCCGCTGTTCTGAGGGAAGCTTACTCAGAGCACTGACGGGGCTTCGAAAGGGTCTGCAAGGCCTTTCCCATAGCCATCCTCCCCCACCTCTTCAGACCTGGACTCTGTAGGATACAGTGACCACACTCATGTCATGAGGAAACAGCCAAGGGTTTAGGGCATGGATTGGCAGCAGTTAATGGCCCAGGGTCCAGCTACAGGCAGGTGGTAGAAAAGGGTTTGGGAGGCACATTTCAATAGAGCAGCTAGATGGGCCCCCACAGAGAAACCCATGGGCAGCTAGGACAAGCATCCAACTGTGAGGTAAAGCCTCAGCTTCCTCAACTGTCAGCAGAGGGGATGGAGTTGCTTTCAGAGTACATCAGTCAAGGACTCCTACGCCCCCTGCCCATGCTTAGGGCTTGGCTGAAGGAGGCTGGGTAGGCAATAGGCACATCCCTCAAGACCTCAGGGGCCTGACAAGCCTGGACTCTACCATCAGCTCCGTGACACATGCTAGAGGGGGTAATTCATCTCTTGCTCTGGCCCCAGGAAGGTGGGAAGACAGGGCAGGTGAGCCTGGCTTTCCCCAAGGAGAGCCATTGGCTATTGTGGCCTGGACCTCAGAGCATTCAAGCCCTGTGAGGAGGGACAGGAGGGGCCTCACGGTTTTCTGGGAAGGGCTGTCCCCAAAAGTGGCTCCCGCTTCAGTGACCCCAGCTGTCCCTACACTGTTACTCTCCTCATGTTACCTTAAGGTGCCATATCTACATGTTTGCCAAGACATTTCCTCAGTGATGGGTCTGAGGCCAGGAGGGTGAGACCATCAGGGAAGCCAGCACTGGCTGAGGTGTGGCCCAGGCTGTGGGACAAAGGGCAACAGACTGCTGGCTCAGGGCAGTTGCCCTGAGATGCTGCCGAAGACAGCAAGAGCCAAAGGGCACGGGCAGGAGGAAAAGGGCAGTATCGGTAAGGCCCTACGCAGGCAGAGGTCTGAGAGCACAAGGGGCTCCAAAAGCCAGGAGCCTCACTCTGGCTCTGCCCTACAACACCCTCCCAGGTTCCTTCCAGATAGCCATGACAGGGAGTCCCTGCTCCTCCTCAAAGGAGTCCACGCAGCTGGGGCTGGGCAAGGGGCAGGATACTGGAGCCCTGGGAGCCACCGTGTGGCCCCTGCTAAGGCACATGTGACCCCCAGCCACAGTGCGTGTGGCGGGGGGTGGTCAGTCAGGCCAGGTATGACCCCAGCAGTGTAGACTCCCAAAGGCAGGGACCTTACTTCCCATCTCCACTTGGCTAGCTCCCACCACGGGATGTGAGGCCCCACCTTCTCTTGGGGAGTGCCTGCCGGGAGAGTGAGCATTCAGATGCCAGCTACCCACGCCACCTGGCTGACTGAGAGTCAAAGGAGGCTGCTACCTTGCGCTGCCCTTGGAACCAGGAGAGAAAGGAGCTGCCTGAGGTCCCGGTGGAGACACAGCCCTGGAAACCAGCAGCCTGGCCCCAGCTGAGGATGCCACCCACTAGACCACACTGCCTCTGGCCACCGCACCACCAGATCAGGCCCTTCAAAGTGCCAGTGGGTGATATGAGGAATTTGAGAAACAAGACAGAGGATCATAGAGGAAGGGAGGGGAGAATGAAACAAGACAAAACCAGAGAGGAAGACAAACCATAAGAGACTCTTAATCTTGGGAAACAAACTGAGGGTTGCTGGAGTGGTGGGGGGTGGGAGGGATGAGGTGGCTGGGTGATGGACATTGGGGAGGGTATGTGCTATGGTGAGCGC